CAACTGAATAATTACTGAGATTTTACAAGATGTTAAAAGACAGCTGTCAAAGCGGACACTAAAGTTAAATCTGTTAGCATTTCAGAATACAAGAAGTGTTGTTTCTAGTCATTATTTTGATCCAGATCAGCTGTTTCTTTTGAATGCTTCCAGACATTCAGCTGATTGTCAGTTCCTTTGTGTTCTACCACACCATACTCAATGCTTCACTTTATACCCCACAATTTCTTTTGTTGACATTTATTTCCTCATTGAACGAAATGCATTTTGAATTAGAGAAGCACTGTTCATTTCACATACGTGCCAAGATCCAAAGTTGGCAGGACAAGAAGGGGGACTTCTGAATAACTGTTCAAATAAATATCTTATTCATACTGATGCCGAGAACGAGCTGCACTTTTCAGCAAATTCTTTGAGATACAGCACGCTGTTCTCAGCCCTTGTATCTGCTGCCTTTCAGCTCTAAGGGCATGTTGTCAGTGAACCCAGTGGGAACTGGATACAATTGTTAAGCTTTAGAGAACTATTTAATCAACCTATAAATTATGAAGAATAATCTTAAGCAATTACCTTGGCGTGCAGCATCACACGAAGTAGATGGAACAAATCATCAGACTATCGCTACCTCAAAGAATAAGCAGTTTTTGGATGGTTTATTTTGAAGCTGTGGTATTGTATCAAGTTCTACCATATGTCATTTCCTCATGTGTTCTGGGAAACTATAATGCCCTTGGAGTAACCACAGTCTCTTCTGCCTCTTACAAAACAAAACAATTCAATAAAAATGGTTCATTTAATTCTCCTTTTTCATCTTGTTTCATTCTTTGGCTGTTTATGATGCAGTATGATGTTGTTTATCTTCAGTTCTATTATTGTAAGAAACCACAGGTGGAATTCAGCTCCAGATTCAAAGACCTAAGCACGTGTGCCTACCTGTGCAGAGGGCTCTGTCACCCATGGTACTCAGTAAAGCCTAGAGAATCATTTGGCTCATTCTAAAACATCCCTTTATATTTGGACAGCTGAATTATTTTTTATAATGTCATTCTCTTTAGTGGCAGCTTTGACACTTAGTTCATGTGTAGATACCTAAATAAAGGTGTTTGCAGCTGGAGCATCCTTCCTTCAGAGTGTTTTCATACAGTGCCTGTACAGTTCAAATTTAAACCATGTCTATGAAATCCTAATAAACTTCTTCTAGAAAGATACTAGGCTTATGATAAGAATTTTGAATGCTGATGGATAGTTTTATATCAAAATGAGTTATCACTGATTATGTGATACTTCTGATTCTTCCTAAAAGTATTGAAAAATTCCTAGTTGACATTTGTGTCCCTTTAGGGTTCAAATCCTGAGAGTTTATATGGGTCGTATATGGAGCTGGATCTCAGGTATAATGTCAAATTATTATTAGCTTGGATGTTGCCTCGAAGTCTTTGAGGGTGTGGAAGCACAGTGAAATAACTGTACATGAAGTAAAGTCTGCAGATTGATTCCTTTTACATCATCACAAACACAACAATTTTATCAACTGGCAGTAACCACATGTTGTGTTTGCTGCAGGGCAAAAAAGACCGTTGTGGTCTACACAGAACAGCTAACCTGACTTTGCATTTCCATTCTTTTTACATCCTATTCTGATCTCATAATATTGTGACTTAATGTGTATTCTGTGCTTAATATATAATTTATGTATAGCCCCTGTAACTTGAGAGGTTCATTGATGTAAAAATACTGCGTGGCTTGTAGTACAATGAAAAGCAAGTTACTGTAGTTAAAGAGGAAACGGTATTGCTTCAGGATGGTCTTAAAACCTCCTGACTGATCTGCAGCTTTTAGTGACTTAAGCTCCTTTGGAAAAGGTAACACCTAAAATGAAAACTGTAACCCCTGCTTACAAAATGAGGAGCAAATCCGTTGCTCAGTTGGTCAATGGTTGCATGGAAAAGATACTTCTATTGAAAACTGGTGTAATTGCAGTGATCGTATTCACTCATATGAAGTCATCGGTTTTGGGAAGTAAATATTCCCTAGAAATGTCTTCATCCCAAAGTTACATGATGAGCTGCACATCTAGAGGTAGCTGCATTCCTGTAGAGCTGCAGGGAGAAGCTACTTTTGAGCCTTAAACCATTATTTACTGGAGACAAATACATGTCAAACTTCCTGTAAGTTTTCAAGTTAGACTGTGTTACAAAAAGGTAGCATGGTCTGAGCATAGCAGAGGAAATAAAGATTTCCTTGCAGTCCTTGGCATATGATAGGTGTTTCCTCTTTTTAGTTTGCAATGTTTTCAGCACTGAACGTTAACACTGCAACAAACCACGAGACAGCAGCTCTGACCAGCACAGCTCTTGGTCCAGTGAGAGCAGTATAGGTATTAGTTCTCTTCTGCTGAGGTTTACCAGTTATATGTTTGTCATACTCTGCTCCACTCACTTCAGCTGCAACACCTCTTAATGCGGTTTCCTTCTTCCTCCTTTTCGAACAGATTCATGCAGCTTTTTGTGCAATTCTGTGTTCACATATAACATATGCCAAAGGTAGCAAATGAGAAACTTGGCTCTTAGCTCATTCAGCGTCTAGATGTAAAACATTTATAAATTGTCCCTCTGCGATGTAAACCAAACCTTTTTAAGTTATGATCTGTAATAAGCAAGTATAAATGGGATATGTAAAGAACCGAGTTTCCTTCTTTAGTCTTCATTTAAACCATCTCTCTGAAAAGATGCCATTGTGCACAGTTACCACAGTAGTGTTTGAGGAAATGTCAGTGCAGTCTTGAGAGGAAAGTACCATCTGATGAGGAATCATTTAGTCACATAATTTTTCATCATGTAACATTCTGGGTTATCTGCTGAATGCACTTAAATACCAGACAGGCTTGACCATGTTCATTAGCTCTGTCAAATTGCAACAAGCAGCTTTACAGCCATTTCTAGAAGAGGTTTTTATTCAAGGAAGAGCATGTGCTGAGTCCCTGTAAACTTTTCTTGTTTCAGATAACCATTTTATTGCTACATAACGTAGCTAAAGCGTCGTTCTCCAATGCATAGTAAAATTTCATAACCAAACAAACACCAAATGTGGTCATTACACAGAAACAAGAGATTTTTTTAGTATCTTTATAAATTAATTGTAGTTGTGGGATTAATGACCTGAAAACACTAACATCTACAGCATTCTTGGTTTTTGCAAAGACTGGAATGGAAAAATAATCTAGAAGTAACTACTCCTAATCATGTAGGGGGAAGAAGAGGAGTTCAGTAGCTGATTGCTGAGATTTAGTAATGCAAATAACATAAACAAAAGAACAAAGTAAAAAAACAACAAAACTGACCATGTATTTTAAGAATTTAAAATCAATTTAAATTTCTTATGCAATGATTTTGCCTATATGTGAAAATTACACTTGTTATGAACTGTAGGAGTTTGTATAATAAAAACACTGAAATCACTGTGCCAGCCAGGACATCGGATGGCGCTTTTTTAATGATGATCTTAATGGCTTTTTTTTCTTCAGAACAAACAGTAGTTGTAAGATTTTCTGTTTACATAAAAAACCAACTATGAGAATTTCTCACTAAAATCTCAGTGAAAGTGCAAACCAGTTGCTGCTTATGGTCTGGAAAGATTTTTCACAAGCAAAGCAATTTGATCAGAACTTATGGAAATGTGTATATATATGTGTGTGTATATGGTATGTGATATATATGTATATATGGTTCTTTATGTTCTGGTAGACAGCCGTGCTTAATTTTGAATTAATGACATTAAAGTATTTGGCAGTATGTTTTTAAACTTAGGTCTATTACTGTTTTATATGGCTAGATGCTTGGGTGTTTCATTGAGTATGTGTGATAATCGCGATTCTAGTTTAATAGCATCTAAAGAAACATCTCCAGAGATGTCTATCAGCTGCCTTGGGAATTCATTACAAAATGCATATTTTGTGAGGTGGAGGTCGGTCTGTGCCTCGGTTGAAATCTGGCTGTGGTGTGTAGAAAGGCTGTGCTCTTGTGTAGGCACAGCCGCACTCCCCAGTGATCAAGGCTTCAGTTCAAATCACTTGGCTTTCTCTGAAACTGCAGTCTGAGGTAGAACATAATTTCTTGAATGAAGACAAGATATCGCATTAATGTACTTGTTCTTGCAAGATAAAAATGAGCTACTGCTTAACAAGAGTGTTTAACTGGTAACATTTCAAAGTAATGAATGATACATTAAATACTCCACTAGCTTTGCTCTAGACAGTGAAATCTAACTTCCAAGAAACATTGTCCTTGTCTAACTGAAGAAGCTGTGTATATGCAAAGTATATAGCTCATAAATTAATTTCAGAAGTAAATGTAGAGTTTAAAAAATAAAGTATTTCAGATAAATAAAAATCATTACTTAGTAGGATGAGCTTCCAAGCATAAGGCTCAGAAATGGTGATCTCATTTCATAGAACAAATCCATACTGTGTGGGCTTTGTTTGTTTACCCTGAATTTCTGGTTCTGAGTTCTAATAGCAATTCATTTTTGCTTCAAGAGCTGTCAAAAAGCTCCTTGTAAAATTTACCTTTTAAAACTGGACAAAAAGCAGAAATATCATGGGCTTTCTAGGCTGTGATATTTCTTTGCTAACAATTGAATGATGCTTTGTGTTATAGAAGGATTGAGACAGAGAAATTTTAATGTACTTAAAATAAAAAAAAATATAGATAATGAACAGAATGATAATGTTCCGTTCATTCTGGGTTCCCTCTACTCCTGTCCTCACTGAGATTACACCAGTTCATTGAGAGGAGCAAAAGAGGATACCCAAACCCAAGAAACTTAAATTCAAGGGCATCATTGGTTACTAAAGTGTAAAGTAGAATTGGAGCTTTGTCTCTGAAATGGGATGCTGATGTTCTGATTTTTTTTCTCCAGTAAAGTTCATGCATTTAAGTTAATGTATGTGAAGGTTTTTCATGTACACTTTTATGTTAACCAAAGTTTTGATTTGTTTTCAGCTGTGGGATTGGGATCTTGGTGCTTCCACATGACCCTGAAGTATGAAATGCAGGTGAGTATTGATAAGTAGATGTGAACTATCTTGTGTGTATCTTACAATGTAGTTATGTTGCTATTTCGTGACTAGATGAAACTTGTATAACATGAGTTAATTTATACATGACCCCTGCTTTCAACAAGAGAGTAGTGCAGGTCTTATTTCATTACATATTTTCTGTTGATACAGGAATATGTACTTGCATCTAAAGTAAAAGCTACAATCAGGTGTTTATGTTGGTAGAAGACACTTCATCCTTTGGGAAATCATTCTGTCTTTTTACTTGAGTTATTTAAAAATTCCTGCAGCTTTGGTTTAATAGCCAGCAGTATACACTAGAGTTCTTGTCATTTATTGTATCCTTTTTTTTATCTTAGTGTTTTCTATTTATCTGGATGTACCTGTAGCACTAATACTGAAGTCAGTATCTTCTAAGTAGCAGTAGTTGAGTCGTCTTCTTTCTCTCTTATTCTCAAGTAGAAAGCATTCTGTAATAAATCACTGAGCATAAGGATTTGGTCCTGGCATTTCCCGTTTTCTAAAGGGGCACAAGGAGTCTTGTCCTGTTGTCTTGGTTTAGATCTGAAAATACTAAGGAAGTTCACTGTGGAATCAAAGTCAGGGTGAAGTGGGATTGAGTTTAAAATAAGACGCCTACATTTAAAAGCTGGTGCTGGAAGTCTGTGCTCCCACCATAGTCAGTGGAAATACAGGGAAGTCAGTGGAGTTTAGAGAGGCATCAGTTGGGCTGAGTCATTCTCCAGACTTCACTGGTATCATATTTATTTGTCTGAATATAGGTGTCTAGTGTCACTTTAGACCCTATGAGTGTTCTGTCTGGCCTCCAGCTGCCGTCAAACAAAGGTGCAGTTCTCGTAGACCTCCCTGTCACATCTGCCAGACGTGTGTGGGTGTATTGGAGATGACAGAGCATCTCAGATGGCATTGAACACCTATGCTGTGGCAACTGAATTGAGTCCTGGATTTCTGCTGCTCATAATGGGACCTGAGACGCTGCATATGTGGACACCAGAAGTTATTGCCTTAAACTTGAACTGAATTACAGTCTGTAGTCATATTTGCCTCCATAATGCTCTATTTTGTATCTCTGGCTTGTGCCAGAGACTGTCAGCCTCTGTGGGCTGTAATGTTGCCACCACATAAGAATATTTGGTGCTTTTCTTTGGATGAAAAAGGTGGTTTCTAGATCCATTTCACCACTCCCTCCCAAATTGAGGTGTGTTTTACCTGTGTTCCCTTCAGTGGTGAACCTGCCTTGAATTTCCACCTTTTTCTCTCTCTTCCCTCAGCTTGCTTGTTCCTAACCTTGCTAGTGTTTCAATACCTCTTTCTTACAGAGGTGACCAAGGCCACCCTAAAACCCAGATCGTTAAAACGATCCAAGCTTAAAACATTCTTGTGTGGTTTTTGTTGGGAATTTTTTGTGTGTGTGTAGAGGCTATTTTAATCCAAGTCACTTTGGTGCTACTTACTGAGTAGTTCTGGCGTTGCATCAGAACAACTGAGGGGCCTATGAACTGTGGTCAGCAAAGGGTGAGGAGAAACAGATGAGAGCAGAGCAGGCATGTCTTGCATCATCTTTCTAACTGGTGTAAAAGGCTTCGTGTGAGGCAGAGAAAGTACACTTACTATTTTGGCAGCCAAATGAAATCCGGGAGTGGCCCATAATTACTCTGATGGCTAGCTCACAAATCACTGTAGATGAAACATTTCAAGCAGTAAAAAATCTTTTCTCATTGAGTTTATATCTTCTTGTGATTAAAAGTCAGCATTGATAGGTGACCGAAGAGAGATTTTTTTTTACATTTGTTTCACAATCTTAATACTACAAATGGTCAATTCAGATTGCTTAATTAAGAGAAATATGGAAAGCTGTTGTTCTTGAAAGCAGCTATTTAGAATACTTCTGAAGCAGTCACTTCTCTTTTTCTCTTAATTTTATGGGAATTTGCTTCATTGTGCATTCCCCAAGAATCCAAAATGCTTATTTAACCAACAAAATCAGCTCACCGAGTTTCCTTCTATCCATGTTTCTTCATTGCTCAGACACGTTCAGACGTGCTGCTGACGGTATTTCTGGAAGCATTAATTTTTATGGATACAGAAGCCATTGTCTTCCGTGAGCAAATTCCAACTAGGATCTTTTGAGAGGCTCTTTGATGTTACTGCTATGTCCCTGAGATGCTGCCAGCATATGAACTTAAGAGTGTAATCAGCTGTCCAAATCTGAAAAATTTTGCTATATTTTATTTCCTACTCTTATATCCTACTCTTTTTTTCCCTGAATTTTTTTCTTTTATGAGGCTTTTCAGTGACTCATGCTCTTAAAGAGCTGCATGAATTAATCCTGCAGCTAATTCCTATCAAACTTGTTAAAGCACAGCATTGAACTTACGAACAATAACTATGAGTATAAAACTGAATTCAGCTATTGCTGCTTTTCCCCTCTCCCCCCTTTCTGAGGCATCCCAGCAGAGATAAACTAATGTGATGGCAAGGTGCCACCTAACACGTCTGTGTTTCAGCTTCAGCTGCTATCTGTGTTCCTGATACTTGCTTTGTGCTACCTATTGCGATCACTGGCCCTATAATGCACGGATTCAGGGGTTTAAACCTTTTTCTGCAAGGTGAGTTGTGTGCTGGATCAGTTGGAGCTGGCTCACCATGGGGCAGAAGAGCACGACTGCTTCACTCAAGAGAAGCAGTGGGAGCGTGGGTGAAAAGCAAGAGCTGCCCTTCCAGTGGCAACTTGTCAGTAGATCTGTTAACAGTGTTGTGCAACATTTCCTGAAGTTTCTGTGGCCAAAACCACAAGAACCTAGTAGTTCACGCTCAGAACAATACATCTCTCTTCTTCTATAAAGAACTAGATCACTTTTTTTTTCCAGTATTAAATTTCAAAACTAAAAGACAGATTTTTGTCTGGGCAGTTAGAAAAATTCTCCCAAACGAAGCAAAACCAGGCTGGTTGTATAACAAGGTTTGTGTAAGCTGCTATTGCTCTTAATATGCCTCAGTTTTCAGAAAAACATGGTTGTGAACTTGTTCAGTACCCTGTACCAGTAGTAGGAAGGCAATTTCTATACAGGCATGGCCATCAACAACTTTCAGAGTGATGATGGAAAAAGGTCAAAGTCCTGTTTGCATCCAGTTCT